CCACAAACACTTAAACAAGTTTAATAAATAAACACAAAAACTAAAAGTGACAAGAACGACTCATCTGTTCATTTAATCATATTTCATCATATTTTAGGCAGCACATCTTTGCAGTAAAGACCATGTGTTTTCTGCTGTTTCAAGAGTTTTATCTCTATATTTTTAAGTCTGTCTATGATGTGTGTGTGTGGACTGGTCCTGTATATATTTACATATACACGCAGATACGTGCACGCGCTGATCTGAATGGTCAAATTATGAGCGCGTGCGAGAGATTCAGATGCCCTCCCCTGGAGAGGGAAAGGAGCGAGGGAGGGACACGAGGACACAGATTTAAACACGAAACACATCAGATACAGATGTTATTCTGACAATAAAAGTCCACACCAAACATCCAAACTGCTGAACCTGTGAGTGTGGGTCTGTGCTGTGAGTGTGGGTCTGTGCTGTGAGTCTGTGAGTCTTGTGAGTGGGTCTGTGAGTCTGTGGTCTGTGAGTGTGGGTCTGCTGTGAAGTGTGGGTCTGTGTGAGTGTGGGTCTGTGAGTGTGGGTCTGTGAGTGTCTGTGAGTGTGAGTGTGGGTGTCTGTGAGTGAGTGTGGGTCTGTGAGTGTGGGTCTGTGAGTGGGGTCTGTGAGTGTGGGTCTGTGAGTCTGTGAGTGTGGGTCTGTGAGTGTGGGTCTGTGAGTGTGGGTCTGTGAGTGTGGGTCTGTGAGTGTGGGTCTGTGAGTGTGGGTCAGACATTATTCTGTTCTTCATACAGTCAGAGAGAGCAGCTCTCATGTGCAGGAGCTTTCCACATTACACAAACATGTAGAGATATTTTTAAGGTTGGGGTCAGGTTTGGACAGTAGGGTTCATGTCGTTGCGCAGACGGGTCACTCGGAGTCACAACTCGGGTCACAGACTCGGGTCACAGACTCGGGTCACAGACTCGGGTCACACAGACTCGGGTCACAGACTCGGGTCACTCTGGCGCTGGAAGTCATAAAAACTAGAGTAAAAGTGTTAAAGTTGTGTTTAGTCCCAGTGTTTCATTAAACCAAAAAAGCTCCTGTGTCCGAGGGAAGAGTTTAGTCTCAGGTCGGGTCATTATTTCGTCCTCTGTGTTGGTCACAGTCTGTGTTCTGTAGGAGTCTGTGGTCTCGGTGTGGACTGTGGGAGACTCTGAGCTGCACTGGGAACGTGTCCGCGCTCGTGCACGAGTTTAAATGTTTAATATTGTGGAGAATAATGAGTGGAATAAACAGACCTGCTCCCTGTTTTGTGAACCAAACACTTAAAATGCACAAATCTGAAGGTCATTCTTTTATATACGTGGATTTTCTGATCAAACTCTTCCTCAAACTCTGTTCACTTCTGCTTCTCTCCACGAGTGTCTCCAGACTTTGTGTAGAGTTTTGTTTAGACTTTGTGTAGAGTTTGTTTTAGACTTTGTGTAGAGTTTTTTTAGAGTTCACACGATTTAGTCGAGGTTCATAAATACCGCGGTTGGTGTAAAGAGCGAGATTTATAAATGAGGCCCCTGAATATGATCCACCATCTTGGACTGATCACAGTTCCTCTGGTGCACACTGCGCCCCCTGCTGGTTTTATCCTGCTCTAACATTTGTCCAAAAGTCTGAACTAGAACTAAACCCATGTGATCCAGTGATGTTTGTGACTTGGTTTTCTTGTATTTTGTGACTCTGTGGTGAACAGTTTGTGTTCTGTTCTTTCTCTTTCAGACCTGAAGGGGGCAGCGACGTCAGAGATCGATCAAAAGACCTTTTAATAAACTTCAAAAAGCCACGTTTACCGTAAGTGAATAAAAAGTTTAAATGTGCAGCAGTGGTTCTCAAGCTGTGGTCCAGGTCCGTTGGTTTGGTGCTGCTGGTGTTTGGTTTATTCTGAATGTCAACAGCGCCCCCTAATGTTCATAAATCCAATATGGAGGCAGGTGTGAGTTAAATGAATCATTTTAATTGCAGGTGTCAGTGTGTGAGCCTCTGCTCAGACGTGTTTTTGGTTTTTATACTTTTGGTTTGGTGTTGGTGATTGAAATATTTCATTTTTGTTCCATCAGAAAACGTGGCCTCAGATCCAAGAAGGTCCCGTCCAGAGGAAACGCTCCACCTGCAGCGTGAGTTCCTCCTTTGACTTAATCATGATTTAGGACAAACCTTCACCACGGTTCAGTCTCACTTTAGATCTTGGAGCTCTGCTCGGGCCAAACCACCAAGTCTGATCTTCATGCACTTTTAACAAAAGTCATCAACACTGAAAAAGAAATACAAAATGCAGAAACAATTAGGCACAAGGAAGAACTTTTTCTGACCATTTAAACGCTGTAAATTAAAGAAGTTTTGTCCTTTGTTTATTTTATGGTTGTAACATGGCAACAAAAGAGCCAATCAGGAGTGAGACTGATGAAAGTAACAGTGACCTTGGGGACAGAAGGCGTCTGATTGGTCCGTTAATAATGTTCAGATCTTGATTTAGGGACAAATGTTGAAATAAAAACACCAGGTCCCAAAGGACCCGTCCCAAAGGACCCGTCCCAAAGGACACGTCCCAAAGGACACGTCCCAAAGGACACGTCCCAAAGGACCTCCTCTCATCTTATGTTTGTATTTTACAGAAACGTGACCACGCCCACATCTGCATTTACTCCACCCACTCTGTCACTGACCCCGCCCACTCTCTCACTGGCCCCGCCCACTCCCTCATTGGTCCCACCTACTCCATCATTGACCCCGCCCACTTCCTCACTGGCCCCGCCCACTCCCTCATTGGCCCCACCTACTCCATCATTGCCCCCGCCCACTCCCTCATTGGCTCCGCCCACTTCGTCATTGGCTCCGCCCACTTCCTTATTGGCTCCACCCTCTGTCACAATCAGGAGTCAAGTCGAGGTCAATGAGGAGGACGACCGTCGAGTGAACAAAGAACCTTGTTATTCTCTGTGGTCACAGAGGTGAGGAGCTGCAGGGTGTTGGGCTCTGACAGGTGAAAGGAGATGAACCTGATGTTTTCATTTATCAAAGAAACTTTAGTTTTGTCCCAAATACAAATATATTTTAAAAGAAACTCTCAGGGTCAAAACGAGATGTTTTTATCAGACTTGTTCTCTCTGTGTCTGTGGAGTTTTTCTGATTTTCAGACACATCAGGTTCAGCTCCTTTAATCTGATCAACACAAAGTGGTTTATTGTTTTGAACTCGTCTGTTGTGTTAAATAATCAGACTCACATTCAGACTCTGTGTTGAATGTCTCTCCCACTCTCCACCTCTTTCACTCTCCACCTCTTTCACTCTCCACCTCTTTCACTCTCCACCTCTTTCACTCTCCACCTCTTTCACTCTCCACCTCTTTCACTCTCCACCTCCTGTAGGTTAAAGCTCAAACTTTTGTGGATGTGACTGAGGAGACGAGGAAATGTGACTCATTATTATTGGTTTGTTTCACAGAGAACGTGAGGACATGGAGTTACAGAGGTCTCTGCAGGATCTCGTCAGGTAAAGTGTGAACACACACGACACGATCTGAGTCCAAATGTTTAACTGGACACAACTGGACTGAACAAAAGCTCTGGTTTATGGCTCTGATCCTGATTCGGAGTAAAACTCTCTTAAATAAAGTGTTGTGGTGTTGGTGCTGTCAGTGTTATTCACTTTAACTCCAGCTCTTCAAAGAGCCTCATTTCCACATCTCACACAAAAATCTAATGATCCACTTTGTTTATGTGAGATTCAGTTTGTCTGATTATTCTGAGTCCAGAAACACTCGTGTCCGTCTGATCTCATCTTTATTTATGACACAAATCAACTTTTATCAAATTTTAGAATTTAGACTTTTTCACCAGAGTCACATGACCTGACTCTAGTGACCTGAGTCTGAATCTGTCTGTGAGTCACTGTAGGGGGCGCTACAGAGCAGTCAAGGTGTGAGCTCTTCAAATGTATTTATTTTATGTCTTTATTTAAGAAAAGGGAACAGTGCATTTTAATGAACATTTATGCTCTTAGACTGAAGTGACAATAAATAAAACATAAAAACACCATTTACAGCAGAAGTCTTCAACAGGAGAGTCACAAAAATCTTTGCTTGATTATTATTATTATTATTATTATTATTATTATTATTATATATTATATATATTATTATATTATATATGATATATATTTTTTTGAAGGATGAGGATGAACTGGTTTTCAGTGTGTGCTGTGGCTCTTCTCTCATTTAATCATATAATCATTTTTATCATTTTAAAAAAGTCACACTTTGAGTCCATTTTCCATGATGTCGTTGCTCTGTTGCTCTGGTTTTCTCAGCGTCACCGTGAGCACAAAGAGCAGCTTCAACTCCAGGTCTGACTTTTACTTTCACTTAGTTTTGGCTGAGTTTGTTTTATCTTATTTCTGTCATGGAACAAGTCGAGGTTTAAGTTGGAGATGGAGCTGGTTTCAGCTCAGGATTTCAGGATAAACCTGGACTTGTTAAGTGACTTTGATGAAAACCTCCAGTATTAAAAGTACAATAACAGAGCAGCTGTTTGTACACGACTCTAAGTCCAGTTTAATATAAAACACAGTTGTGTGTCATATAAATACTCGGGGGTCCCTGCTCCAGCTCTCCATCAGTTTGGGGTCCCTGTCCTGAAAAAGGTTGAAGACCCTGATTTCCAGAGACATGTGCAGACAGGGGGCAGCACAGAGCAGTGATCACAGACTCATGTCACAGTGTCATGTACTAGACCGAGTACAGACGTTTAACACCACACAAGATGGAGAGGGACACTTTTACAATCCTGACCCACTGTGTTGCACATTCTCTTGTATTTCACTCATTCTTACTGCAGTTTAACTCTGCTCTTCTAGTTTAGATCCAAGTCCAAACTGTGTGATTATTATTTGTGAAATGTGGAGCAAAACTTCAGATTCAGGATTTTAAAGAGTAAAAAGTTTGGAGATTAAATGTTGGGGAAGTTGAGTCACTGTGGAGAATCTGCAGCTTCAGTTTCATCTTGATTTTCCATCGGAGCCAAAATGAATTTACAGAAACTGTTTTACTGATTTTCAGACACATCAGGTTCAGCTCCTTTAATCTGATCAACACAAAGTGGTTTATTGTTTTGAACTCGTCTGTTGTGTTAAATAATCAGACTCACATTCAGACTCTGTGTTGAATGTCTCTCTCCCACTCTCCACCTCTTTCACTTCTCCACCTCTTTCACTCTCCACCTCTTTCACTCTCCACCTCTTTCACTCTCCACCTCTTTCACTCTCCACGTCTGTTTCACATCTGAACACTGAAGGCTGCAGATGAACAGTTATTAACTCACTACACATTATTAAAGAATGTGTCAAATTATTCAGCTGCTTCTTCCAAATTCTCTCTTTATGAAAACAACTTCACATTTCTCTGCCTTCCAACATTCTGCCCTTAAGTTTTTGTGTGAGTTTTTCCTCTTTCTTTTGTGGCTGTGACTGAGGGAGTTTAGTTTAATAATCTGTTATTATTGGTTTGTTTCACAGATTCCATTGTGGACAAAGAGGAATTGAAAACAGAGGATTGAGCAGCTCCTCCTCAGGTAAAGTCTGATCACACCTGAGTCTGACCTGGTTTAATGTGAGACGTAGAGTTTCTAGAATCTTTATTTAACATTTTCAAACATGAGCTCTGTGTCCCAGATGGAGCTGTACAGGTGAAGTGTGAACTCTTCTAATCAAATACAACTTTTTACTCACAACTGTTCATTTTCTAACTCTTACAAACGTTTATACACAGTCCAGTTGTTGATGAGCACAGATTTGAAACGTTCACTTCCACTGTAGATCAGACCAGAGGTTCTGACTCTGTGTTTGACTCCACAGAGAAGACGAGAGGAGCAGAGAGCAGGACTCTGAGGAACATCTGCAGAAGAAGAAGAAGAACCTCATCAGTTTGTTCAGAGACATCGAGGAATCAGGATTAATCAGGAGGTGAGATGTTAAAGATGTTTGAGTGTGATGGTGTGTGTGATTGTGCGTCACAGCTCCTCCTCAGAGTCTGTCACACTGCTGCTGTGAGGGGCACCTGGGCTCTTCCTCACAACTGTCTCAGAGTGGATCAGCTGAGTCTGAGAACTGTGGGAAATACAGTGAAGAACTGAGCTCTTTACATGTCTCCACAGGTGGGAGGAGAAGTTCTGCAGATCACAGAAGTCATCATCTCTCCGTAAGAAGCTGGACAAGGCTGTAGAGAACTTCCTGTACCAGGGAGATAAGGACGAGCTCAGAGAAGAGACACAGCGTCTCTACAGATACCAGAAGCTCCTGGAGCAGTGGTGCGAGGCTTTCACACGAGAAGAACATGATGTTTCTGTCTGGGTCATGGACTGTCTGAAGGTCCACAGAGACATCTCCCGCCTCACCTGGGTGAAGAGTCTACAGTCGTCTGTGTCTGGGTAAGACTGAGTGATGTTCTCCTCATTTCTGTCTCTTCTCTTGTTCAGATCTGATCTCTGCTGCTCTGAGCAGGTTTGGGAGGTTCTACCAGAGCAGCAGTGGAATCATTTTTGTCCTAAATTCTCCTCATAGTTTTTGTGGATGTGACTGAGGACAGATGTGAATGTGATCGATTATTATTGGTTTGACAAAGAAAAAGTGAAACAGAGGTTTGTGTAGCTCCTCTGCAGGTAAAGACTGACCACACACCTGAGTCTGACTGAGTCGTACAAAAACACGTGAAGGTCAAGTCGTTTATGACGTCACTGGGAGTTTTGTTTCCTGTTATCCAGTCAGAAAACAGAATGAGACTAGGGCTGTCGAGGTTGGGGAGTTTCTCCTCCTGTGGTGCAGCGGCTCAACATCCCCATCCCCCAGAGTTATAATATTTCCAGCGGCTCTGAAAACTCTGATGATTCACTTGTTACAGATGCACATGAACCTTGGTTGTCGTGTGGATATAATGTTGCTCCCAAAGGGAAGAAGTAACATTTGTCTTTGGAACAAGTTCCACTGCATCTCTCCAGCTCTCACTGTGGCAGCTCGAGTCAGAGTCCTGCACCGGGTCGGGTCAGGGCCCCGCACCGGGTCGGGTCAGGGCCCCGCACCGGGTCGGGTCAGGGCCCCGCACCGGGTCGGGTCAGGGTCCCGCACCGGGTCGGGTAACCACAGACTTAAGAGAGAGAGAACCCCGAGCACGAGCACTCGGAGCAGGTGTCTGCAAAGATCAATCAGGGCGACAGCTGCACTTACCTCTGTGGGGCAGAGTTCTGAGACGGTCTTTTCTCCTGCGTTCACCCAACGGTCTACGTGGGCGCACCTTCGGGCTCGACAGTGAGTCCTGGTTCAGTTTCGGTTTAGTCCTGGTTTAGTCTTGGTTCAGTCCGTGGTGTTTAAAGTATCTCGATCAATGTTTCTTCTGTTCAGTAAATAATTCCTGTGAAGTTTTGTCAGTCGAGTCGAGTCTGTGAATTCGCGTTCGTACTAAAGAAATCGTAACCGTTTCGTTTCATTTCATGATTGTAATTCTTGAAGTCGTAACTTTTCAGTTCATATTCTGATGGATGCTTCAGTTAGAATGTTTTTTAATCTGTGTGTGGTTTATCTTGGGCACGGTTGGTAACAGGTGGGATGTTAACGGGTCTGGACAGGTGCAGGTTTAACGTTGATATAATCACGGGTTAACGGGCGGGTGTGGTGCTGTATTGTGCGGGTCCGGGCGGGTGCGGGTCTTCAAAAACAGACCTGTGCAGGACTCTGGGTCGGGTCACGTTGGTCACGTGCGGTGATCGCGGTGGCCCAACATGTACGGCCGTGGGCCTCTTGGTACCACGGTGATTGAGTTTTGTCGTTATTGCGACAGCCCTAAATGAGACTCACACAAATCTCTCCTTTGACAAATCCTATGACCAAAACCTGTGACAAATGAACCTAAAATGTCTCTGATCTGATCTGAACGTTTCTCCCTAAACCCCAGAACCTGCACCAGCATGAGTCAGTGCTAGTGCAGCCTCTGCAGCTCAGGGAGGAAATTCTGGAGGTTTTTGAGCTTCACATGAAACATGAACATAAACTGAGACTGAGACAAACGCAGGACGTGTCTCTCTGTGTGTCTGTGTCTGTGTCTGTCTCTGTGTCTCTGTGTGTCTGTGTGTCTGTGTGTCTGTGTGTCTGTGTGTCTGTGTGTGTGTGTCTGTGTGTCTGTGTCTCTGTGTCTCTGTGTCTGTGTCTCTGTGTGTCTTTGTCTGTGTGTCTGTGTCTGTGTGTCTCTGTCTCTGTGTGTCTGTGTGTCTGTGTGTCTGTGTGTCTGTGTGTGTGTGTCTGTGTGTCTGTGTCTCTGTGTCTCTGTGTCTGTGTCTCTGTGTGTCTGTGTGTCTGTGTGTCTCTGTGTCTGTGTGTCTCTGTGTCTGTGTGTCTGTGTGTCTGTGTCTCTGTGTCTGTGTGTCTGTGTGTCTGTGTCTCTGTGTCTGTGTGTCTGTGTCTGTGTCTGTGTCTCTGTGTCTCTGTGTCTCTGTGTCTCTGTGTGTCTCTGTG